TGCTATGTCTTGTGCTAACAAACACAATAGTAGTATATGCATTCAAAGATTGAATTTCTAGGAACATGGATTTTAGTTTCTTTTATCTAATCTGTCCTAATTTCTTCAATTGCAAGTAATCACCTTTCAATTGACAAAATTCAGCAATTAAGATTCAATTATCAAGCAATGGAATATCGAATTTCATAACTTTCCCTTGAATTTTGCATCCCTAGATTTTACATGTTGTAGCACCTAACTTGACCGGAATTGAGTGTTGTAGCACTTAAATGAATTTTTCCAAACCCAATTCTATAATGACTGAAATTAATCTCCTAATCTTGATTAAAATTCATTTATGATGTATACTCAATTCTCATTCCTAATTATCCCTAATCGTGGAGGTTTTTCAATTAACAAAATATTGCAAAACTCAATTTCCCAATCAGAATTCATGCAAGAAGGCTCAAGATCCATTCCATGGCTTCTTGAACTAAAATATATGCTAATTAAAATTCAAGAAAAATGTTCAGCAAGTAATGTGATTAAAAGGTACTCATCACTTCATTCAATATTCCAGAAAAAGATTTAACAATTAATATTAAAGAAATTCAATATAAAAGAAACCATGTTCTTTATTCATCAAAGATCGAAAAACAACAAAGGGGGTTAAGGAAACATACCGGATTGTTGCATTCAAACAATATAGAAATCTAGAAAGTGTTCAAGATTACAAATGAAGCTCAGAAATCTGATTGCTCTTGGTTCCTCCAAGAACTCTCGTTAGTTATTGTGTTGAATACAAAAGCGTTGAAATCTTAGAGATTACAAAACTAAAACTGAAAACTTGTAAATCCGACTCTATCTCTCACTTTCTAAAAAAAAAAAAAACTCAAATTTATAACAAAAACTAAACTACTAAGCTCCAAGCCTTGCCGTCCATTAGATCAAAAGAGCATCCAACAGTCCTCATTTCCTGTGATTAAATGACAGAAGAAAATATCAAAAAATTTACAAATCTGCCATTATCAGCCCAATTACCTTAATGAGCCCATTCTTTGCAATTTATGCCAGTTTTACTTGCATTTTCAGTTATATTTAGTCCAATCATAATAGAAACTAAGTTGCTAAGTTAGGTAAAAATCACAACTAACACCGGACATCATCTTTTTCAGGATCAACTATGGTATGTTTAAACACCACCTCATGATTTTTATCGCAATATGGTTGGTAGAGTTTATAATTATGGTATGCTACATGAACCAGTTATTTAAGCATCGCCGATCAAGTTACTTCATCTTGGAGTGTGCCCAAACCCGACACTTGAAGTCTAGAGACAAAAGGCAAACACATTATCACGAATATGACAAAACTACATCCCGGTAGCTCAGACCCTAGACTATCGGGTTTAGGGGCAACTGTTATGGGCCCATCTCAGAGACTCATATTCTAGAACGCCCAAAAGGACAACATAAAGAGGAAATTAAGGAAAATAAAGGAAAGAATCCTTGAATGATACTAATCCTAATGCTAGTGCAATATAAATGGATCAAACATTGGCCAGAAAGCCACTAAAGGTTCAAAATTTTATTACCACATATAAACTCTATAAATAAGAGGTAAATCGTACATGCATGACATTTACTCTCTCTCAATACTTTTTGTCATTGTGTACACATACCACCCTGTTTGGCAACGTCATTATTCTTGTGCACAATGATTTGCTATCCTCAAAGGTATCTCCTCCATAAATATCTAAGAGAGCCTTAGATTCAAGAGCAACATACTAATTTTTGACTAAATACTTCTATCCCTAGGATAGAATAGACCCTGTTTAAATAATGTTTGAGTCTATCATAGACCTTCTCTAAAATGGATATTATTCATTTACTAAAAAAACCAATCTGGTTTATGTTAGATCTAGCCTAAGTCAGGTCAGATTTAACATAATATATTTAATAAAATAAAATAAGGGATTTGCATTCATCATTTAACATGACACAAATTTTTTTTCTAAACACACAACATTTTGTGGGGCCCACACATTTTGAAACAAAAAAAAAATTACGGCACGCAAAACGAATCTCTATAACTTTACAGAATCACTTTTCCTACAACATAACTCTTATAAAATCCATAAAATAATGTCGAATCTTAAAAAAAAATTATTTAAAAAATGAGCTATAGACATTGTTATATAAGGCCTGATCGATAAATTTATAGATAGGTTTATATGATATTATTTATTTTAAATAAAATAATTATTTAAATACTTTTAAATAATAAAATAATATTATTTTAACTAAAATTTTAAGTCTTGATAAGTCTTAAAGGGCGGGTAGACTTAAATAAATTAATTAGGATAGATCAGATTTTTAAATTTGAAAAATATAGATATAATTGGGTCTATAATCGAATCTAAATTAAGCTAATAAAAATTAAACACGAAATATTTTACTTAAATATAATTATTTTTTTGTATAACTTGGAGGCACTGGCGGCCTAGGTTGGGGCACATGTCCGCAAGTGCAGACATGAAAAATGTGATTTTAGTTTTAGTTTTTTTTGTTACATGTTTTTATTAGGGCTGGCAATACGGGCCAGCCGCCCCGGCCCGTTTTGACAAAATGGGTTGAATTGAGCAACCCGACCCGTTTTATGAGTGGGTTGGCGGGCTACGGGCCAGCCTGCCTAAAATAAAAATACAAAATACAAAAAATTAAATTCTGCATAAAAACACATAAAAAGATCTGCATAAAAGCATAAAAAAATCTGCATAAAATCATAATTTGCTTACGAAACAAAGAAGACCAGTGTTTAATAATTTACATATAAATATGTATCTTTCAATCCAAAAATAATAATAAAAAATAAAATCATATCAAGGTAAATCAGAGTAACAAAACAAGTAACAAAGTGTTGTATAAGCAGTCCACAACAATTCGAAAAAGCCACTTGCATGCAGAGAAATCTAAGGCAGGAGCTACATAACAATTGGATAACCTAAAAAAAAAACAGGCTTGGCGGGCTAGCCCGCCCCGTGGCGGGCCGAGCCCGACGGGCTTGCGGGTTTGGCGGACTGGTGGGTTGAAAAACTCAACCCAGCCGCCCTGTTTGGCGGGCGGGACGGGCCAGCCCGGCGGGCTCAGCCCATTTTGGCGGCCCTAGTTTTTATTTGTCTCTTGGTTCAATATTTATATTAGGAGCAAATATCCTATTTAAGTCCTTAACAAAAAATACGGTCTCCACTTTAGTCCCTTATAAAAAAAAATTAGTCTTGAAGTTCCTAAGAAATTCAAAGTGGATCAATTTAGTTAAAATCGTGATCGCTCACAAATTCAAAAAAGACCCACATTAGTCGCTCAAAAAGACTAAAATGCGTACACTTTGAATTTCATAGGGACCAGGTTACTAAATTTTTTTTGGAAGGGACTAAAGTGGGGACCGAATTTTTTATAGGGACCGAAAAGAGTATTTACTTTTGTATTAGTTAGCAACATGATTTCGCTTGCCTTCTGTACAGATAGTGTTGACTTTTTTATTCACGACTATAAAATAGAATGATGATGTATGGATGTACTAGAGTATATTATAATATTTGTTTGGGAGGATTAGTAAGATTTAGGAGGGAAAGATTGGTCAAACTATTGCCTGCAGTTTGTTATAGAAGCAACTAGATTATGAGCGAGTTCATAAACTTGTACATAAAGCGGTTAATCTAAACTGTCTTTATAAAAAAAAATTCGGGGGCACCACTAAATGTGCGGACATAAAGAAATTTTCTGGGTCCGCCACTGCTTGGAGGTATCTCCATTCAACCTCCTTTGGTCACTTTATCCTCATGGTAGGGCCCTTTAGGCTAGCCCCACATTGAAACAGCGGGTGCATTGAGCTTCGCTACTACCAGAAGAAGGATGAGACTAATCTCTTATTCGAGGAGAGAGGCACTTTCTCTGGCCTCCAAAGATTTTTCAAGAATTTGCTTGAGGCATGATTTGAACCCCTGATTCGAGCAAATCCTTAGGAGCTCAGCTGCCAACTGAGCTACCTAAAAAATATAATTATTTAGATCAAAACATAATTTAACTCAGCCTATTTACACTCAATGCATTGCGTTAAGGATTTCTCACTTATTTATCTCCAAGACAAAATAACATACTATGAGATGAACTGAGAATTAAATTTAGCTGACAAGGTTCCATTGGTGACGCTGTCTGTCACACAAAGTTGAAGTAGAAATATTTCGAAAAAGGCCAGAAAAAAAGGTAGCAGGGGAGAGAAATAAAAGGAGAAGGATGGGGGGACCATTGAACAAAAGTCAAGGTGAGGAGGATTGTCTCATTCAAATTTCTAGCAAGGAAAACAAAGGGGAGGCAAAAAAAAAAACGTTTAATGATGTGGATCAAAGGAAACCCATGCTCATCCTTAAGGAATGTGGGTCACAAGAAATCTCTCTGATTAGAGATCCAACCAATAGGATGCAGAGTTTAGGATGAACTTTACAAGCTCCACCAATTGAAAACCAGATAAGGCATTCCCTTGTGGACCCAAAAGTACAAACCTTCAATATGGGGAAGCTCCCAAAAGTGCAATCAATATACCAAAACTATCCCACTTTTATTATACGGATGATTAGCAAGTAAATATAGCATATGAACAGTGTAAACTATGTAGTAATCAACTAATATTTTTAATTATGACATAATATATACTATTATAAGCTATTAAACATAAATATATATTTATACTTTTGCTCTTGCTATTAAATATTGTACTGCAAAAAGTGCCCTTGTGGGTCACACTCACACACACCTTCTTCCCTTGTCATTGATTCTACGCTAGAATTATTGTACTGCCTTGAAGTTCCTTTAAGTTCCCAAAAGATTCGAGAAACCAATCCAACCCCAACAATTTTTATTTTGAGCTTGTGATTTGATTCTTGATTGTTGCTTTGCTTTTTTTTGTCTTCAAAATTTGTTTTGTTTCAAAACCCAGATTGTGGTATTACTAGGTCTTGGTGTGATGACTTCTGCAAAAAACGTGGCAAACGCTGTTCGTGGCAAAACAGCAAGAGCCTGTGATAGCTGCATAAGAAAGCGAGCACGTTGGTACTGTGCTGCAGATGATGCTTTCCTCTGCGAAGCTTGTGACTCTTCTGTTCACTCAGCTAATTCATTGGCTCGTAGGCATGAACGTGTTCGCTTGAAAATGGCTTCGTGCAAGTCCTCTGATTGTGCTCCATCGTGGCACAGAGGCTTCACCAAAAGAGCTAGAACACCACGACATGGGAAGCACAATTCAAAAGCCAAGGCTAAGAACCCTTTCCATCTAGTACCCGAAGTGGTTTCAGATGATACAAATTCCCAAGAAGTGAGCGAGGAACAACTTCTTTATAGAGTACCCATTTTCGATCCCTTTGTAGCAGAGCTATGCACAACTCCATCTTATTCTGTGGCTTCGCCTGAAGCACTGGCAACAGTGGCTGGTTGTGCTCTTGAGGTTGAAAAAAAGGACATCAAAAATCATGGGGTGGAAAGCTTTAATGGGTTTCTTTCATCGGATATTGAACTTTCAGAGTTTGCTGCTGATGTTGAGAGCTTGCTGGGTAAGGGACTAGAGAATCAGTGCATGGGAATGGAAGAGTTGGGGCTAATTGATTGCAATGAAGAGGTTTCTTCGTGGGAGTGTTGTGTGGGTAGCGGAAAGGTGAAGGTGGAAGAGGATGAGAAGCCAGAAGAAGTGGTAGATGAGATTGAGAATATGGGTAGAGAACCTTTTGAATTGAGCTTTGATTATGATTACTCTTCTGTGCAAGCATGTGAAGAGGTGGAGGAGAAGGTTGCTTTGGATGTGACTAAAGATGTGATGAATGGTGGAGAACTCAAAGAGAATAATATAGCAAAAAGGAAGGTATTGTTGCAGTTAGATTATGAGGCAGTAATAGCTGCCTGGGCAAGCCAAAAATCTCCATGGATTACTGGTGATAAACCACACTTTATTCATGATCATTTCTGGCCTCACTGCATGGTATTTAGCTTTATTTACACTTTATGCTTGTTTTTCATTGTTTGAATTCATTTATATATTTATGTTTTATCCAAGAACTCGGACTACAGAGCAAGAGTTAACTTTCCTTTTATATTTTTGCTTAGAAGTTGCTGATTTATATCCTACCTTAAAAAGATTTTACTAATTTTGAGAATTCTTATAATAAACATGGGCATGTCCTAATTAACTTTACTATTTGTCTGCTTTTTAACATGGGAATTAAGCCAAATTTGACTTAAGTGGCGAACCTAGTGGTAGATGATTTTAATTATGTTTGAATACTTAGATTCTATATATTGTTTGACAATAAAGTTTATGCTAATATTTTATAGCAGGGAGCTTGTGGAATAGAGCTTCACCAGCAGTATGGTGAATTGGGTGGACTTTTTGTGTGTCATCCAGGAACAACAGATGGGGGAAGAGAAGCAAGGGTATCAAGATATAGGGAAAAGCGGAGGACAAGGTTGTTCTCGAAGAAAATAAGGTATGAAGTTCGAAAATTGAATGCAGAGAAGAGGCCCAGAATGAAGGGGAGGTTTGTAAAGAGGGCTTCCTTTGCAGCACCACCAACTATTCCTTTAATAAACAAATAAAAGAGAAAAAGAAAAAAGCTAGCATTTACCGCTCTGCCATTACATTTTTGCTTGACATTAATTTGTTAGTCTCAAGTCAGCATCTGAATGTGTATACAATCCAATAATGAAGGCGTTTCTTAACAAGATCGAAAGTTAAGATTCCCACTTTCAAGTATACAATGTTTGTTTTGAATGACTATATGATGGTGATTGATGATATTTGCCAAAAAGGACGCAGCAAACAGCTTCCATTGGATTTAAATATCAAATCAATGTTACATAATTACATATCCTAGACTCTCAGTATCGCTTAAGGTTCTGTATTGGTCCTTTTTAAAAAAAAAAAATTAAGTTTAATATTAATATGTGTTTACATTAATTTATTTTATGTTTAAAGTGATTAATAATCAAAATCTTACTTAAAAAATATTCAAACATTATTTTTCATAGAAAATTAATCAAAATTAGACATGTTTTTAATATTGAAACTAAAGTTATATTACTTGCACATTTTTTGTGTGACTATCACAAAATAAATTTAGATCATTAATATAAAGAGGAAAAAAAAATCCATAAGAAAAGAATCGTTGTAATTAAGTATATATAAGATTCGTGAGGAGCTTTTAACTCATTTGGGATCTTTTAAGCCAATAAATTCTAAATTAGGTTTAGGGGATGATAATTTCCTTTGGAGCTGATCAAAGTCACTCCCTAGAGACTTTGCCTTTTTTTTTAAACTTTAAGAATGTGCCACGTGGTGCATTCTGGTTGGCCATAGGGTGCCATAACCCCATTTCCTCCCTATTTATAGGGTGCATTTGTAGGGTTGAGTAATAGGTGGATTGCACCACGTGATGTAATCTGGTACACCTAATCCCTATCTTCTTCCCTATAAATA